TGGTTATGGTTCCCATTAAAACATCATTAAGGATACTATAATTTTTTTTAATATCCAATGAAGAATAGTGACATCTCACCATGACAAGCAGCCAATTTTGTAGAGGGTAAGAAACTTAATACCTTACCCCCACAATTTCTGAGAATATGCTTCACAAAAGTTAGTTTTGGACCTGTAATATATGATTACAGTTCTCAAGCACCTTGTCATGGTGCTGCACCTCTCTCTCCAGCCATGAGTGCTGGCACTGCTCCAGGCTCCATCTCCCTCCATTGTAGATTCAATCAAGGTAACTCCATAGACTGCTTCCCACAGAATCTAAATAGAATCTAAATTTTTTTATTGCATTAACAGTTTCTGGAGACAGTTCACACCTCATCTCTGGAACATTTTGCTACCTACTGGCGCTTAGTCACTTTACGACTGGATTCTATCACTAAGCACCAGTAGGGGTCGAATTGCGTCAGTCACAGTAAAAGAGAACTATGGGGTAAGTGTTTTTCTGCCTAGTTCTCTTTGGGTCACGAGAGGACTTATACTAACCTCCTCCCGTGACTCAAAGCTCAGTATATGGCAGGCTATCGCCCGCCATATACTGAGAGCGCCGCAGCTGGGGCAGATCCAGACAAAACTGTCGAGATCCACCCAGCGGCGTAAATTACAGCTGGATCTGCCTATCTAGATAGGCAGAGCCAGCTGTGCCCACCCCCTCCCCTATTCATTCCTCCACTGAGTGCTGTAAAATCTCTTCTGAACCGAAGCAATGAAACTTCAGTTGCAAGTTAATTGTGTTAATTTCTTGATGAGGAAATGCTAAGTGTGTCAATTTTTTATAATGTGATTATTTCCCTTTAAGGAGGAATATATTTTCACACCTTGCAAGCACTCGAGGGTTTTTTTTTGTGTGGAACATTGGTTTTCACAAAGCGTGTGCTCTTAGCGGTGTTTTTAGATGTGACTTTGACTAAGTTTGCTTTTACTTTGCTAAGTAATTCTGGCTAACAATACGCTTTTTTGGTGTTGCCCTCATTGTCAAATATATGTCCTTTCACCTTGTTATGGAAATGCATTTTTAAAATGTAATATTATGGTCAATTGATTGTTGGACATTAAATAATATGCTTTCTTCTATACTGCAGGAAATAAATGTCTATTTTTAAGTGGATGCTCAGACTGGAACATTGTGTTTCACTAGTTACAGTTTGTCATCTTTGTAACCACTGTTTCATTTAAAGTGTATTTCCACTTTTGCAGTCAAATTTGAGAAACTCCCCCTGTATGTTTGTTATGTGTTCCTATTCAAACAGCATAGCGAAAAATAACTTAACCTTTTTTGTTACAGTAGGCAAGATGGCTGACTCCAGGTTTTCTCAGCCCCTTCACAGAGATCTGTCCTAATGGAAAGACATAGGACTGAAATTTGAGGATTGTGTTTATCTGATAAGCTTCATTAATATACCACTCGCAGCCCCTCCTAATGTTTCAAAGAGAAAAAAGCAAGAAGACATTTGAACCCTTCAAATCCTAAACCAAAGTAAAAGTAATTTAAACTGCAATATGCATTTTTTATGCAAAAAGTGTAAATACACTTTAAAGAATATATATCACAGCTGTCCTTAGCTTGACAGCACAGTCAGAAGAAACTTTTGGAATCTTAAAGTGTACAGAAATTGGTGTGTTCTTTCCAAACATGCAGATATAGATATATTTGAGCTTTTGAAAATCAAGGTACTACGTAAATGTATTAATTTCTTAAAGTAGACTTATACCAAAATAAACCCCCCACCTCATCTCACTGTGCTGCCTCCTTACAAAATAAATGCTATTTAAATTAAATGAGAACTATGGGGTCAGGGCTTTTCCCCATAGTTCTCCTAAGGGTAACGGGACGACACAAACTAGCATCCTCACGTCAACCTAAGCTCAGTATACCGCAAGCAACAGCTCGCGGTATACTGAGACGCCGCAGCCGGGATGGATCCCTTACATTACTGTCGAGATCCACCCCGCTGCAGGATTGACAGCTGGCTCTGCCTATATAGAGGCAGAGCCAGCTGTGCCCACCCCCTCCCCCATCCGTTCCGCCAGTCAGCGCATCGGACAGGGGAGGGGGGATCCCTGCAGGGAGCCGTGAGTGACAGTCACGGCTCTCTGCAGGGATAGATCAAGAAGTGAGCGAGCGACGCTATGTGTTCACTCACTTCCCGATCTATAGAGCCGACCTGTGACAGTTTCATTGTCTCAGGTTGGCTAGAACTATGAGGCTGAGTGATTTTCACTCACCCCATAGTTCTCCTAAAAAGGCCCTAAAATTCTTACTTATCCTTGCAAAAAATGCTGCTCTGATTTCCCATGTTGGGCAGTCACATGAGGTAATGAGTACTGTACTGAGAAGTACCGAGGCTTGGCTAATTTTGTCTGAATGTGAGTCACCCATGCCTCTTCAGCTGTGATTACATGACAAATGCTTCGGTGATGTTAATTGCCATTGTGAAAGTCCAGAGCATCTAATTCTGCAAAACAGTAATAATTTTGGTATAGGTCTGTTTAGGATGTTAATTACATAGAACAGTAAATACATGAAGTTCCTCATCTGCATCACAGTCTGTGCATATTTTCATAGTATAAGTGTAAAGGATCAAATGCCTTGGATATCTCTAATGCTTTAAACATTGCATTAATATCATCATTTTTCCACAGCTTATTTTTCACTTTGTAGACACGGATATGCTTTCGGAGTATTTTCACATCTCTTTAAGAGTATCTACAATAGTAGGAATCTGTCCAGGAAAATTATGTCTATGTGTTCAAAGTTTAAGTTTGTACTGGCCATTCTTTGTTTCCCAGGATGCATGCATAGTGAATGTGTACCTTTACAATTTGCGGTCATCCTCTTTGTATTACTACTTCAAGAATCACAGACCCAGTACAAGAATTCAGGTCAGGTGTCTCAGCACTTCTCTGGCTGCATACATTTTACAGATCCGTGGCTCACTAATTAGTTAAGCAAGAACAAGAATAACAGCCGCAGGGAAGGCAACTTCGAAAATATGGCAGCAGTGGCAATCTATCCTAGGAAGTTCATTTAAAAAAAAGGCAAAATGGAAAGAAGAAATTGCTATAAAGCATATTTTTATCACTATGCATGAGGGGAAGAATATGTAAGCCAAAAATAATACATGCTCTATCACATGGCCAGAGAAAGTGTGATCTTTTTTTAGTTCAAGTCCTTCATTCTGTTCCATTTACCCTCCATCTAAGAATTACAAGGAGACAAAAAGGAAATATTAAACTTACAACAGGCCATTCCTTTGAAACACTGACCAACTAGTCTTCTACATTGCTACAAGAGGAATGATTTACTGTGTCTATGATTTGTATTATAGAAAATATTCATATGTTTTGGGAGCCATATGGAAAAAAAGCAATAAGAATGCACCCTAGCTTTACATTATACCTATATTAAAACACTAAGACTTCTGTATTTAACAGATTTTCAAAAGGTAATAATGGAGTAAAATACCCAGTTTAAAAATGTTCACCATGAAGGTTCTGCTTAAACCGTAGCTTATTTTTAATAGTTCAGAATCCACTGAGTTTTTTTGTACTAACAATGCTGGTTTATTTACATATGTGAAAATATTTGGCACCAATATAAGCTTCTAAAACCACATTCAGTGTATGTTTTTTAATCCTTCACGTGCTTCAAAAGGGGTCAATAAGACCAGTAGAAAGGTCATGGTTTGGATCTGTTTTATTGGTTTTGCATGGTGGTTATATCGAAAAAGATCTCACCAGCCACACTATGGGTAACAATCACTAGTATGGATGTGTTACACAGTATAACAGACATGACCTCTTATTATTCTTTTAGCTATCATCAGCAAGCAACCTTCTCTTCCAGCTACCAGTCGAAAATAAGGTATAGCCACTATCTGTGTAGTGTTAACCGCTATAATATAAAGTGTAACCAACTTACTAAACCTGGTATACTGCTTTTAGTTAGATCTTAACTCACAGCTTACCATGTTCTAAAAACGGTAAAAGCAGGGTGATAGGATTGTGGTAAAGCCATTGTCCCTTTTCCTGTTTGGTGTGCTTTATGTTTTAACATGGTGTTAGCAGAACTACAAAGAGGACATACAGATGAACAGACGTGTGGGAAAATGACAAACTTGTCTCAAGCAGTACCACTGAAAAAGCAGCAGATAAGGTTTTCAGATCCCTTCTTGGTCCCAAATAACATCTTCCAATTTCCCAAGAGCCCTGTTGTGTCAGCTATATGCCTCCTCTACTTACTGGTCCTTGGGTGCTTTTCCTGTTTCTGCCACTATGGGTTTACTAGTAAGCTCCCTTGAGTGAAAACAATAGAGATAGAAGAACAACTCCTCTTTACAAATCTTCAGTTCTTCCATTGAGGTAGCAGTTAGGGTAAAGAAGGGACTCACATAAATTGATCTTGGGCAGTGTAAAGACGTGTTTTTAGAGATTACAATGACCATTAAGATTATTTAATAAAACAAAGGAGCAAATTGCTAAGTACAAACCAAAGTACCCATATAAACCAGTCAGAGTCCACTTTGTATTGTCCGCCTTCAATAAAGTAAATTTTGATTGGTTTCTACAGTTTAGTGTACTTTGCTTCTTGCATTGTTTATTGCATAAGCCCACATATTTGTGTTGGATGCGATGTCATGGCTATGTGTACTTCATACTTGCCAACATCATGGATTGGGTGAAATGGAGACCAATGCTGCTTATACATGGAATCTGGTAAGATGATGCAATGAGATATCCTTTATTCTGGACCTGAGAATGTTGGCAAGCTTCTGGGTGATAGAAGACAATCAATGAATGTACATGCATGGATCTCATCAGATCTCAACATATGTATGTCTTGTGTGCATGCATATTTCATTCCTCTCAAAGGTCTTATGTGTCCTTGCGTATTTGCTTCATTTCAGCTGTATCTTACACTTTACATTTTTTTTTGAATATAGTGCATCAAGCCAGAGCTTTTCTCCAGCAACTCCTGCCAAAGGTCCTGCGCCTTATGGAGGGTACAATGAGCCCTCTCCTCCTGCTCCAAAACCACGGGTAGTGACAACTGCAAGCATCAAACCATCAGTTTATCAACCAGCTCCAGGTAAGAAAAAAACAAACAAACCTAAAAGTTAATCTATTTGGTAAAAAATACTTTTATTACTGTTACAAGTAGAAGAAACAGGTTTTACTATTGAAAAGAGCCACTAAAAAAGACTTCTTTTAATTTTGCACATACACAGTCAACCAAACAATATCTGCCACTAGAATAACCAAAAGACAAATTTAAATAAGTTTAAACAAACATGAATAAAATATATTCAAGCATGCCATTAAATTTAGAAAACGTGTAACATTTGGCTCTTCTTTTTTTGGTTCTTTCACAATCATTTGAGATTTCCTAAGTTTAGATGTGTAAAATGGCTATAAACTCTAAAAGCCCTATAATTTTATCTCAGCAACCCTAAAGCAAACAATCAGTGGAGCTCCACTTGCTATGTAACGATAAATCCCAGCATGATTTGCCATCCAAATAGGAAGTTGGCATGAAATTCTCTAACGTAGAGTAATAAACAGGTAGATCTCAGCTGCTGTAAGGCCATTCATAGATATTGAACTTTGTTCAAAAATTTTAACTTGAACCTCTGCAGTGCCGAGGGGCCACTCCAAGGTGAATTTTTACAGATTTGCTTGCACGGTTCCGTTTCAGCATCACCAGTGTGGATCCTTTGAGGCCTGGTTCACACTACGTGTATTGTCGCAGCTGAATGAGCACGACAAAATGCTTCACAAAAAAAAATCCATTCATTCCAATGGCCCCTGTTCACACCTGAGCATTTTGTCGCAATAAGCAAAACGCCTGTCGCTGGAAAAAGTGCACAAGCTTCTTTTTGGCAGATTACAGCTCATTTTGTCCCCATAGAGTCAAAAGGAAATGCTTGGAAATGAGGGTTGCAATTGTTTTTGCATGTTTTTACGCACGTTTGCGCTCGTTTTGCACATTTACATCAATGTGTCACAATCTGTGCAACTTAATGCAGAAACAAATGTGTGTTTCTACGTGCAAAAAGGCTTTTGCCTGGGTGTGAAATCAGGCTTTACTGATAAATACAGTAATGCTCTAGTGTTGTATACAGAATGAGAATATGTTATGCGCAAGCTTTAACGTAGGAGTTTAGTGCATACAGATGTAATTTACCTCTGCAGAGCTCCATAGGTAAAACATAATGAAGCAGCTGTGCTGCAGATGGAATTTTTTCCATTTAGGAGGTCAAAGTGAGTTGACATTTGCTGGTCACCAAATTTCATCAAAGGGAATTGCAGCATTCATTTAATCGGCTAAAGAGGTTTACATTGGGCAACATTTCTCAGTGGATTTTTTATCTTTTTAATCAGCAGGATGATTAGTATGACAACTACTACACATTAATTAAATGAAGTGTAATCTAGCTCACTTGTGGCAGAAAAACTAATAGCTGCAGTTGACAGAAACAGCCACAAGAGGGCATTCCAATCATTCTATCCCAGACAGCCTGTGTTTGTATAGGCTGCTTCTCGCACCTAGGTGTGTTTTGTCTTTGCAGGCATTTTCACATTCCATCATGGACCATGAAGTTAGTTATGTGAAACAAGGGGAAGGGCCTTTATCTAAAGCAAAAACATACACACTTCAGTGAATGCAAAATATCTCAGCTCACTTAAAGCTACACTACACGCATAACATTTAAAAACAAGTCTACACTAAGTCTAGACTAAGAAAAGAAAAAAAAAATCATATCAACAGGAATGTAGTGTTCAGCTGTATTAAACATCTAAATGTTCCCCTTTTTATACATGGGAAGATTTGAATAATATTTAGACTGTTTGTAATAACAGGAACACATGCAAAAAGTCAAAACAGTTTTATTGTGTCCAAAGAAATCACGTTACATAATGCAGCAGTCTAAACAAAACAGTCCATAAATCCGTCCCTTCTCTGATCTTCAGTAAGAAAAAGGAGAACTGAGGGCTGCTGTGGGCCAATACCTAGGGAAGCCAGGTTAGATAGGGGAGTACCAAGCCTCAACATATACAAAATTACGATACTTTTGCCCTTTTTTGTTTGCCTGGTCTATTCACCTCGGGCATTTGTGGCCAAATTCAGAAATAAGCACATGAGAGGAATCAAAAGGCTTTTCATAGTTCAGGAAATCCTCTCTTTTCTCCTTTAATGGTCTTCGCAGTTGAGGTCCCATTCACACTGATGGGTTGCGCCTTAACAGACTGCCTTAGTGCAGCATGCCTTAACGCATAGTAATTCATTGCTTTAATGCATGTGCAATAATGCAACACAGAGTCTGAATGCCCTTAAGCAGACTAGTAGTGTTCACCAAAATAATTACATGAGGTAGAGCTTGCATTAGGGCCAGTTCACACTACAAAGTCCGTGCTCCAGTGCGTTCAGCCTCTGGAATGCATTGGAACGCAAGCCAGTCGGCTCCCTGCAGGAGGGGGCGGGAGGGGATGTGGCGGTGCATTGAAGTCAATAGCACCGCAGCCATGCCCCCTGCCCGCAGTGCGATTGCCCGCACCCTCCATAAGGACGGACAGTGTCAGCATGATTTCAGAGATGATTTGAGGATCTACAGCCGGGTTTTACAAGAATAAGCTAAATTTTTGGTATTAGTAAACCTGAAGCATTTTGGAATTAGTACAATGGTTGCAGGACCATTTTCTGGAAGCCAGGCTTGTGAAGCTTTATGAGAATCCAGTTAGGAAGATACCAGGGCATTAAATAGCTTTGGTAGGTCTGGAGGGGAAATAAGGTGCTTTATTTTTGCTGCATCCCTCAGTTGGAAGAATGAACATAGTTTATGAGCAGTAAAAGCCATCCACACCAACAGTAAGGAAAATTGTAAAGATTATTTTTCGATACAGGTCACCTGCCTCCAGTTAAGTCATTGTTCATTTTCAAGCTGAAAATAATCCAGCCTTTAAGTTCCTTTAGGTGGACATTAATAGTTGATGGTCTAAAGGATAACGAAACCAAAGAACATAAATATTAATATATTGAACCATACCAACCCTTAGATGTGGTGGTTGCATTAGTTTCCTTTTTCAGGCTAAGAACATTTTCAGCAAGTATAAGAAATAAATGTTGCTCTTATCAGAAATGCAGTGTCCTGGTCACCTTCTGTGAGATGAACAAAAAGATGACAACATTATTTTTCGACCCGCATGCTAAATGAAAGCAGTCTATAAAAGCATGGCCAGCAGGGGCCATCGGTTCATCAAGAACTAGCTTAAGTTTGCTAGTTTCTCTAACAAGGAGATGGTTTATTGGTGTTATGCTATGGAGTTGTTGTACAAAGCCTCCCTGCATTGAACTGTGTTTGTTTGCTACCTTGTCAAATACAAGTGCAGGACAAACCCTATATTAGACATACATACACAATTTGTATCTATATTATTGTTATTTTCTTCTTGTGCTATATTATATTATACTCAGAAGATGGTGCTAGGATTAGCTCATACAGAATTATGTAATGTATCCAGGGTTTGTATTTACCAGCATTGCGTGATTCCTGTTTTATGCACATGACTGCTTATTGATATATTATTCCGTGCTCAGCCACAACTGCTAAGCAAGCATCCACCACAACATTGCACCACACTGACTAAATGAGGGCTTTATCAAATAATTTATCTAGTTGTTATTTTGCCACTATAAGCTGAGTTTATACTTTACATGATTTTGTGTCAATGAAGTGATAAAATTAGAACTCCTTACCATCTTGTCTTGAATTGTATTGTAATAGTAATGTCTTCCTTATGTTGTAAAGTGCTGCACAAACTGTTGGCGCTATATAAATCCTGTATAATAATAATAATAACTCAAGTTAAAATCAAGATGGTAGATGAACAGTCATCACTATAGTGTTGCTCCTAAAAGACAAAGGGCTCAAATACAGATTAAAAATGTTTAATGTCTTCCTAACATACGATTTGCCCATTTAAATCAACTTTAGAACTCTAAAACCGATTAATTGGAAATAAGGCATATCCTTATAAGAGAATACAAATATTTTGTATAGCTGATTCTTTAGATTGCAGTAAGTGTGTATAGCTACATAAGGTGTTAATCCACCCAAAACGGATGTAGCAGTCATAGGAATAAGTTGACTGGCAGGCAGTAAGTCAGGAAACCAAGAAACCAGACGTAAACTAATAAAGTGTAAGTTAAAAAAATAAAGGAGTTTAGTGAAAGTGACAATAAACAAAAATGCAAAACAATAGGTAAATCCAAGATGTAGTCAGAGCTGAGCCAGAGGTCAGAAGCCAAAGCGCATAGTCAGCCGAGCCAGGTCCGGGAACACAGATAGCACAATGAATGAGCACAAAAGCCAGGGTCTGGAACCAGGAGGTCAGTAGAAAGAGCAAGGATCATACACAGAGCACAGAAACAAGCAGAGAGCACTTGGTAAATCGGAACAAAAACAAGCATGGCAACCAAGTGAAAACACTGAAGATGATATAGTGAACTGGAGTCACATCATCACTGTGAGACAGGTAGTTGCCCGGAGCAACAGTCAGTGTCAGAAACACCTAGGAGCTGTTTTGTCTCCATCCGACCTCTGATTTCCCCCCCTCTCCTTGCACCCTCTGCTGCCACCCCCCTTTGCCTAATTCCGTCTCCCATATGAAGACCCTGTAGGAATGCCGTTTCGAGCTCCTACTGAGTCCTATCCCTGGTGATAAACTGTAGACCACTGACTGTTGATCCTACTTGCTTCACTCATTACACACCTAAGTGGAAATGCCTGCATCTCCCGAGTCTGATTGACACCCTTAACCATACGGGCCCTACCATATCACCTACCCCCTTCCCTCATTCACATTATTTTATTTTTTTTGTTGTGTGTGTTGTTATACCTGTACTGCGAAATGTATCACATGCACACTTTACTTTCTATAAACGGACCACACTGGGTCTCTGACGTAACCCATAGTTACTTGTCAGCATTATGTACCTGGACAACACCCCTAGCTCCTGAAAGGCCTTTGGTGTGCCCTACATATGAGTGTGTGATATGTGTACGCATATTTTTCAGCCCTTGACGGGCC